GAAGCGGAGAGAAACTTTCTTTGTGTCATTGTTTGAGTCCCTGGACCCAGCCAAGTACCCCAGGCTACCCTGAACTTTTCAGTTTTGGAAACCAATAAATTCCATTTAGTTAAGAAAGTTTCAGTTCTGTGTCTTGCAGCTGTGAGCATTGTGACAATAAACTTGATGATCCGGGCCCTTTTGGGCTAGATCCGTGAACTAATTGCTTGTCATGCACCTCCAGTGGGAAGAGCTGCTCAAAACACCAACTCAGTGTTCCCCAAAGCCACACCCTTCCTTTCCCACTTTCACGCCACTGTGACCACACCACGATCTCACAAAAGCCTGCCCATTCTCCAAGGCCCAGATTAAGTCTCTCCTTTAGGAAGTGTTCCTTGGCTGTCAGGTTTGGGTGTTACCAGATTTCCTCTTTCCTACTGGCTGAATTAGAAGGCCCTAGAGGGCAAGGATCACACATGTTAGTATCTCTGCATCCTCCACAAAGCACTTGTGTTCAGTATATTTGCTGAATGAATGCTACACAAAAAAGGATGAACCAGCTGGGTGAGGCGGCTCACACCTGTAATCCCAGCTCTTTGGGAGGCCAAGGCAGGCAGATCACCTGAGGTCAGAAGTTCAAGACCAGCCTGGTCAACATGGTGAAATCCCCATCTCTACTAAAAAATACAAAAATTAGTTAGGTGTGGTGGTGGGTGCCTATAATTCCAGCAACTCAGGAAGCTGAGGCAGGAGAATTGCTTGAGCCCAGAGGTGGAGGTTGCAGTGAGCCAAGATCGTGCCACTGCACTCCAGCCTGGGTGACAAAGCAAGACTCTGTCTCAAAAAAAAAAAGAAGCATGACTCCTGGCCTAATGGACTGATAAGGTAAACAACAAGAAAGACACAGGTCTGTACACATAATAGAAATTGGGTATATACCAGCCTGGGCAACATGGCAAGACTCTGTCTCTACAAAAAATAAATTAGCTGGGGGTAGTGGCTCACACCTATAGTCCCAGCCACTCGGGAGGCTGAGGTGGGAGGATCGCTCGAGCCTGGGAGGTTGAGGCTGCAGTGAGTCATTATCGCACCACTAGACTCCAGCCTGGGCGACAGAGCAAAATCCTGTCTCAAAAAAAAAAAAAAGAAAAGAAAAAAAAATTGCATGTGTGTACACACAAGCAAATTTCTCACAGCCTGGTTAGAATATGAGGCAAACAGGTGTAAAGAATGAACAAGGGGGTGGAGTGCAGTGGCTCATGCCTATAATCCCAGCACTTTGGGAGGCCAAAGCAGGTGGATCACCTGAGGTCAGGAATTTGAGACCAGCCTGGCCAACATAGCGAAACCCCGTCTACTAAAAATACGAAAATTAGCTAGGCATGGTGGCGCATGCCTGTAATCCCAGCTACTTGGGAGACTGAGGCTGGAGATTTGCTTGAATCGGGGAGGTGGAGTTTGCAAGGGAGCCGAGATCACAACACTGAACTCCAGCCTGGGCAACAGAGCAAGACTCCATCTCAAAAAATAAGCAAATACAAATGAATAAGGGACATTCTTCCTTTATTGAAATAAAACTCATCCACCGCCCCAAGGTTATTCTTGAAATTCTAGAAGGAAACTCTCCACCAAGAGTGATGGCACTAGACATATATAATGAGAGACCCACAAGAGGGAAGTGAAGCCACAGGGGGCATCTGGGCTACATAGTTTGTCTTGCCACATAAGTAGGCCCTTTACAAGGCTAGCTGCCATTTTCCACCCAGACAGGACAGGAACCTTCCAAACAGGGCAGCCTGCAGGCCCTACACCCTTCAGGCCCCATTCTCAGATACCCGTACAACCCATTAAGCCAGACGGACTCACAGCTGTCTCTACAAAGTTCTTTGTTACCTGACTCCTTAGACACAGGGTTGGGCTGACGGGACTCTCTCTCGCCTTGAACATCTTATGAAGCCCCTTGCCGCCCACTGTGTTGCTGTCCCAAATCAGCTGAAGGAGGTGGCTGGTCCCACATAAACCCTCCAGCTCTGGGACCAGCCAATCTCCCTGGACAATGCCCTCTCCCCCAGCAACAAAGCCAAGAATTTTCTGCAAAGCTTATAGTGAGGAACTGGTATCTTAATTCTTTTTTTTTTTTTTTTTTTTGGAGAGGGGGTCTTGCTCTGTTGCCCAGGCTGGGGTGCAATGGTGCAATCTCAGCTCACTGCAATCTCCACCTCCTGGGTTCAAGTGATTCTCCTGCCTCAGCCTCCCAAGTAGCTGGGATTACAGGCACCCACCACTGCGCCCAGCTAATTTTTGTAGTTTTAGTAGAGATGAGGTTTTGTCATGTTGACCAGGCTGGTCTCAAACGCCTGACCTCAAGTGATCTGCCTGCCTCAGCCTCCCAAAGTGCTGGGATTACAGGCATAAGCCACTGCGCCTGGCTGCTATCTTAATTCTTAAACCAGTGACCCTACTAAAGTGTCTTCATTTCAGGTGGACTCATTCAAAATGACATTTTCAGGCTAGGTGCGGTGGCTCAGGTCTGTAATCCCAGCACTTCGGGAAGCTGAGGCGGGAGGATTGCTTGAAGCCAGTAGTTTGAGACCAGCCTGGGAAACATGGTCAGGCCCTGTCTCTACCCCCCAAAAAAAGACATTTTCTCTTCCCCCATGCACCTTCCAACTCCCATTAAAATGCCACTCCCGGCAAAAAAGCAGGGGAAGAGGGAAGATTGTAGGCTATTTGAAAACAAGGCCATGAAGTTTGTCAGTTTCCTTGTGTCTCCCCACAGCACCTGTATTCCATTAGTGTAGTGGCTGAGAGCATGGACACCATGGGCAAGCTGCCAGCTGAAGATCCTCTAGTCATCTTGGGAAAGATGCCTTCCCACAGATGCACCACCCCTTCCTGTGCCCCAGGGTCCTCTCCTTGTGGACCTTCACATCTCATGGCTTCCAGTATGTGGGCCCCTCTTTGCCTGCACAGCTGATGCTACCTTCCAGCTGCTGTGATGGGTGGGCAGGGACTGGGGCTCCCGCATTGCATTCCTGACTCCAGCACGTGGCTGAGACACTGGGCCCTGAGACCGACTGTGACTGCCCTCTTCCCCTTTGCCAGGTCCTGTCTCCCACTTCCGACACCCTCACTTAACGCCAGGCAGAACCTTTCCCATTGTCATGTTATTAAAATAAAGCTGCGTCCCACCCTTCCCTTCTCAAAATATTTCCAGCGCCTTAGATGAGTGCCTCTCGTCTATCTAACCTCTGCTCTCACCACGTCCTGGCCACAGTGTGCTTTTGCTCTTGCCATTTTCTCAGCAGGAGTGTCCCTACCTCAATTCACTCCCACATCAAGTGTGGCTCAAGCTGCGTCCTCTAGGAAGCCTTTCATTATCACTCAGCTCAGAACTGGCTTCCTTCTGGGCACAGCACTTCTCCCAGCCAGCCGCCCACTTCACTGTCTTTCTGTGGACAAGTCTATCTCCTGAACTAAGGACATAAAATCCTTGGAGACAGGGTCCCATCAGTCACTGTATTTCTCATGGTGCCTAACAGTGCTTTGTCTGAATGGACATGAAATGAGAGAGAACACACGCCCAACTTCCAAGAAAGATGTGTATTCTCCCTAGCAGTAACAAAAGACACCTAATGGGCCACTCCCTGAAGGGAGCTCTCAGCTCTTTTACCATGTAGGTGGAAGGTAGGAAGGTAGGAAGAAAGAAGAAAGGGAGGGGGGGAGGGAAGGAGGGAGGGAAGGAAGGAAGGAAGGAAGGGAGGGAATGAGGGAATGGGGGCGATCAAGGCCTGGGACTGCCCTACAGGAGGCTTACAGGCCACATTCCCACACTATCTCTACCCCCATGCCTCTCCTAGTAAGATTCATTGCCTACAATTTCAAAGAAAGTGCAGTTTCTAGGGAGTGATGGAATATGTGAAATATACAAAATAAAAAGAGAGGAAAACATACAAATTATTAAATAAAATTTAAAAATAGGAAAGGCTGGGCGTGGTGGCTCCGGCCTGAAATCCCAGCACTTTGGGAGGCAGAGGTGGGTGGATCACCTGAAGTCAGGAGTTCGAGACCAGCCTGACCAACATGGAGAAACCCTGTCTCTACTAAAAATACAAAAAATTAGCCAGGTATGGTGGCACATGCCTGTAATCCCAGCTACTCACAAGGCTGAGGCAGGAGAATTGCTTGAACCTGTGAGGTGGAGGTTGCAGTGAGCCGAGATCATGCCATTGCACTCCAGCCGGGGCAACATGAACGAAATTCTGTCTTAAAAAAAAACAACAACTGGGGGAAAAAAGTGCAGTTTGTTGTGCAAGCTAGAGCCCAAAGAAGTCTATTCAGAAGTATGTTTTCTCCCACAGGATAGCTAGAGTTCCAGAGCCACTTTCTCTTCTGTAGCCCACCAGAGGAAGCAGCGTGAAGAGCTCAGGGTTTGAAGGCTGGACCTTGGTCAGGAGTCAGCTTTTTCTAGCTGTTCCAGAAAGACCTAGAAACTTCCTGTGTGAAAATAATCAGGATTAGGAAGTTCTGGGGGTGAAAATACCATGCATGGAGCTGGCCCACGTCAAGTCCCTTCTAACTATTTTAAATTAGGTCCTTAGCTGGGCGTAGTGGCTCACGCTTGTAATCCCAGCACTTTGGGAGGCCGAGGTGGGTGAATCACCTGAGGTCGAGTTCAAGACCAGCCTGACCAACATGGTGAAACCCTGTCTTCTAAAAATACCAAAAAAATTAGCCAGGAATGGTGGTGCACGCCTGTAATCCCAGCTACTCAGGAGGCTGAGGCAGGAGCATCATATCATTTGAACCCAGGAGGTAGAGGTTGCAGTGAGCTGAGATCAAGCAACTGCACTCCAGCTTGGATGACAGAGTGAGACTCTGTCTCAAAAGAAAAAAAAAAGAAAAAAAAATTAGAACCTCATGAATGTCTCCTTCTTCTCTGAGACAAAGTGAACAAACCACATCAGGAAAATTATGACAGAAAAATGACAGGAAATGACAGGCAGTCATTGGCATTTCCATTCTTATTTGTGGATTCTGGGTTTTGTTTCCTTTCCTTTTTAATTTTTTTCCTAGAAAAAAAAAATACAACCAGGGGAATTTATATGACAAACTATCAGTGTCAGGATGACAGAGGAAAAGAGAAAGAAGGGGAAGGCCAGAGGCATGGGAAGTGAATAAAAAGTGGGTTCCGGGTTGCATGGAATGGTCCACAGGGTCATGTACAGGTCCTCAGGAGATGACTGGTCCCTTTGGCATGCATGTCTGGTGCCTGGTCTTCTGGTCTGCCTGCTCAAACACCCATGGGCAGAGATAGCTGGCCACATGTAAACCTGCCAACGACAAACTCAGGATTTTACAGAAAGACGTAGTTCAGTTCCTTGGCTTTATGGTCAGGCATCACACAGCAGGTAGCTAGCAGCCTTTCTTGCCTGAGAGAAGAGTCCAGAAGAGCAGGAGAGTCACCTTTGAAGACACTCTGGCATCACAGCAGTGAGCTGCAAGCAGCCACCCGCTCATGTGCAGATGTGGCCCTCACCACCCATGCAGGCGTCTGTCCAGACATCCCCAGTCAATCTGGCCAAAGGATGGGACGTGACAGTCCCTTTCTAGCCACAGCTTCATAGTGTTGTCCATTCTCCAGTCTTGCTTGAACTGCCTATCACCTTAAAGGTTGGAGGAGATTGGAATCCATTTCCTTTTCAGCTCAGCAATGGACGTTCATTCCCAAGAAACAATTAACTTAACAAGGACAGATTGGCCATCTGGATCTACACTGAAGGTCTTTCAAGTTTCATCCACTTTATACCCAGAGCTCAGGGCAGAAAATTCAGCCAGAGCCAGAGCAAACAGGGTGGCCAGAGTGACGGCTGAGAGAGAAAGTGCCAGCAGCACACTGCAAGGCCAGAGTACATTTAAGAGGGGGAGAGGGGCATGCGGCAGGTTGGAGCCCCAAGTCAGAGTCTAGGGCAGCATTAAGTCTGAAGGAACACAGCCCGGCCTGCTGGGCTGACAGGGTGGGTCTGATGCCTCATGTGACGGGGCCCCACTGGTTGTATTCCTATGTGGAGGGTGGTGGGTTCCTGCCCTGTTGTGGCCCCTGTTCCTGAACTGAGGCCAGGTTCCATCTCAGTGCTGCAGTCCTGAAGAGCACCATGCTGGCCCGCCAGCCAGGCCACAGTCCTCAGCCCCGCTGGGTTCCACAAGAAGGCCCCAGGGAGCCATAGTCGCTGGGAGGGAAGGGGCCAGGGAAGGGAGGCTGCATTCTGCTGGGAGAGACTCAGGGAGGGACTACCATAGGCTTGGAAGAAGCTATGGGCCAAAAATTGCAGAGCCAAAAGGAATGGGATACATTTCTAAAAAGTGACAACAGTCTTGTCACTATTTTAAAAACAGAATACTGTTGCTGTTGCCTGGCTTTGTTTTCTTCCTTTTAAAACCACTCAAATTTAAAAGGTGAAAGGGCTGGGAGATGTAGTCCCCTTTACTTTCATCCTTGGTAGACACCAGGAGGCCTCAGTCTTATGCTGGCTCCTGCTCTCCTTGTCTGGGCTCCAGTCACACAAAGCAAGGCCAGGGAGGGTAGCAACTGTTCTGCCTTCCCAACAGCAATTCCCTTTCCCCATAAAACCAGGGCACACGTGAGGAGAAGTCCAAAGAGTAAAGTGCACAGAACTCCCCGGAGCAGGTGGCCTGGGGGTGGGTCACTCCGAGAAGAAAGCGGGCTGGGGGCATCAGCCCAGAGCCACAGCTGTGAAACAAACACTGATCCCTGTGATATGAGCCTGCAGGCCACAGTCCCCTTTCCCTTGGGCCCTCTGACACTTCTTCCTGGGACTGTCCACTCTCAGCAGCTCTCCAAGGAAAGTCTCGGTCCCAAAGATATGGCCCATCCTGGGGGAAACTTGGATGACCTTCCCTGGCTGCTAATGACTCGTGAACGTGAAGGGAGCAGGATGCGGCAGGAGGGAAACAGTGCATTATAGAAAACCAGTGGACCCCCAGTTCTGAGAGCAGGGATACTCAAATAACCCTAAATGCAGTCTCTCCTGGGGAAGGTTTGGAGAACATGGTCAGGATCCTACCAGTGAGGCCTGCTGGGGAAAGGAGCTCCTCTGGGTACGAGAGGAGTTGCAGAGTCGGGGGAAGGGTTGCCAAGGAAGAGAGCCCAAGGTTGGCATTAGGGTGTGTAGGCAGGAGGTGGCTGGAACTGGTTGATGACCTCATATTCCGCCGGGTAGGGCTCGTTCTCCTCCATCTCAGAAAGCAGCTCCAGAGCCTGCTCCTCTTCCTCTGTGGGGTAGTGGCGAAGGAGGTTGGCTGCCGTGGCCAGGATTGAGGCTCCACCAGCTCCTGCCACCAGGTAGAAGCTAACAGCAAAGGTGACATAGACCTGGGATCCATGGTACTTCTTATGCTGCTGCTGCTGGGCCAGGATGAGTTCAGAAGCCCAATATGAAAAGCCAATGACAGTGGCACACTGCAGGACTAGGGGACAGAGGGACAGCACAGAAGGGGGATTAGCGGGCACTCCACAACCAAGATGCTTGAGGACCCAATCGCAGCCTCACTACCCAATCCCCATTCTCAGGGAACCTGCCTGGCCCCAGACCCAGCAAGGAGGAGCTCTCTTGGCCATGGGATTCCTGACCTGAGGCTGGGGACAGCAGTCTGACCTGATGTAGGCCAGATTCCTGCTGTCTTAAGGAACAAATAGGGTCATACAGCTTGGGAGCTGGAGTGGGCACACCACAATTCAAACCAACACAGCAAAGCAGGCATGATGGAGGACAGCAGCCACATACAAGAAAAGGCTGGTCTGTAGGGAAGCAGGAAGGTGGAGAGGAGAGAATCTGACCAGGAGCTCCAGGAGACAGGGGAGACAGCCTGGTTCCTTCTTCACTCATGCCGGATCTGAGCTCAGTCGGGCTTCAAATGCCATTTTAGAGAGCTGTGAGCTTCCTTGCAGAATTTCTAGCAACATTTCCTCTCTACAGCTGGGCTGAGTGGTTTGTGATCCTGGCAAGTTAGCAGCTAGACTGGAGCAGGCTGCTGACACCGTGACACTCTGGGAAAGGCTGGAGCTTCGCACATGAGCTCCTGGAAGGGTGTCTGCTCACAGAAACCAGAGACCCCACCAGCAACTCCAGACAGGATGCCCCCGCCCTGTGGCAGTTCCTCCCCCACTGTGAGGGGGACCTGGGCTTACCAGTGAGGATATGGGCGAAGGCATAGCGACGGGTGATCTTCAGGGCGGGATGCTTGGGACCAAAGACATCCAGAAGGAAAGCGGAGAGACTACACAGGATGCCCAGGAAGCAGAAGGCAGCGATGACCCGCAGGAGCAGCACTGTCTGGGGATTCATGCAGAAATCTGTAAGGGGAGAACCAAATCTTCAGGGACCCATGTAACACCTGGTGCAGGAAATCTCGGCCTAGAAGGGGCTTGATCCCCTCCACCACAGTCCTGGGGAGCCAGGGCAGTTCTGCAGGACACTCTCCTAGCTCTTGCTCCTAGGTGGTCTGCAGGGGAGCTGGAACAAATTCCACATTAGCAGACAGAAGCCCTGGGCCACTGCCCTCCTGTACCTCAAGTCCTGCTCTTTCTAAGAAGACAGCCTAAGTGCAGGATTCCACTTCACTGTATCTGCCATGCCCTTCTAACCATTTTAAAAGACACTGACAATTAACCTGACATGTTAATGCATTCTGCTAAAGGAAAAGCCTGAGCAGGCAGGAAAAGCCTGACTTCTGAGTTGAGACAGCCAGAGAGGCTAAGACCACAGGTCAATTAATGTTGATTGTCCATTTACTCACTCATTCCTTCCCTTTTTGTTCCAAAAAGACGTTGAACTTGAAGACCTATGCTAAGTGAAATCAGCAAAATGTAGGACAAATATTTTATAATTCCACTCATACAAGATACCTAGAATAGTCAAATTTATAGAGACAGAAAATATAATAGTGGTTGCCGGGGGTAGGGAGTGGGGAGAACAGTAAGTTATTTATGTGCACAGAGGTACAATTTGAAATGATGAAAAAGTTTTGGAAACAGTCGTAATGCTTGCACAATGTTAATGTGCTTAGTATCACTGAATTGAACACTTAAAATGGTTACTACTTTGGGTGGCTGAGGTGAGAGGCTTGCTCGAGGCCAAGAGTTTGAGATCAGCCTGGGCAAGAGAGTGAGACCCCATCTCTCTGGAAAAAAAAAAAAAAAAAAAAATTGCTGGGCATGGTTGCGCATGCCTATAGTCTTAGCTCCTTTGGAGGCTGAGGCAAGAGGATTGCTTGAGCCCAGGAGTTCGGGGTTATAGTAAGCTATAATCACACCACTGTACTCCAGCCTGGATGACAGAGTGAGACCCTGTCTCTTAAAAAAACAAAAGGCTAAAATGCTAAGTTTTATATTTTGTATATTTTACCCAAAAAAAAAAGTGAAATAAAGAGGAAGAAAGAAGTTGCAGCAGTTTAGAGAAATGTGCAGCTACAAGAAAGTATTACATAGATTAGAAAAGGGGGTAGACTATACTGTCGCATTGAGTTTTGCTCTCTCCCCAAACCCTACAAGAAGAAAAGAATTTTTTTTTAAAGGCATAAACCCATACAAAAAGAAACGGAGGTGTAAAACAAGATTCTGAAAACTGGAAAGTAAAGGGCATAGCACTACCTACAAAAGACTCAGCAGAGCTGGGGAACAAGCCAGCAATGGGAAAAGCTAGGAAACAATCACATTTATGCCACAAAAGCCTCAGAAGGCTTGGACAGTGCCAACGTGCACACATTAAGGGCATAAATGAAAGAAAAGGAAGAGACTGAAAGGAAAGACACAGTACTCAAGGAGACCCTGGGAGTTATGGTGCAGGGAGAGCCCATGCCGACAATCATGCACCAGACACACAGAGCAACTTGTATTTCCCTCCAATACTTTAGCTATTCTTTTAAAAAAGCATTTCAACTAGACAACACTGTCTGTCTCCTTTGATAACTATGCAAACTGCCACAGCTCCCAGAGGCATAGGATAGAATAAAGGCTGAACCAAAAAGAAACCAGGCTATGATTAATATTTTAAGCTTTAAAGAAAGTAGGAAATGGGGCCGGGCAGGGTGGCTCATGCCTGTAATCCCAGCACTTTGGGAGGCCGAGGAGGGTGGATTACCTAAGTTCAGGAGTTCCAGACCAGCCTGACCCAATATGCTGAAACCCCATTTCTACTAAAAATTTAAAAAATTAGCCAGGCGTGGTGACATGCACCTGAAGTCCCAGCTACCTAGGAGGCTGAGACAGAAGAATTGCCTGAACCCAGTGGGCAGAGATTGCAGTGAGCCAAGATCATCACGCCACTGAACTCCAGCCTGGGCAATAGAGCAAGACTCCATCTTAAAAAAAAAAAAAAAAAAAAAAAAAAAAAGTAGAAAATGGGGCTTTAACTTCCTCTCCCTTCTATGTTATAGCCACTGGCAAGTTCTTTTATTTGGGCCATGGGTCAAGTGATTTAGGAAAATTTGGAAAGGGCTGGCAAGACTCAAGCTATATAGGGTCCTTTCCTGAACTTGACCTCAGGCTGAGAGGGTGTGGGATGTGATCATCAATCTCTAAGGCATACCCAAACAACTGTGGCACTGGCTGAAAGCGTGTCCCCAAGTCCTCAAAGAGTCCGAGTTCTAGGTCTGGACAAGGGCCTAGCAGTCTGGATTTTAACAAGAAGCCCAGGTACTCTCCATGCAAGTGATCCAAGCCCCATACTTCAAGAAACACTGGTTCCAGACCTCAGAGGACGGTGGACTGATGAGGGAAAGTCCAGGAACCTGGAGAGGGGACCCAAACCCAGTAAAGCTGACTCAGCCCATCAGACGCTGGCATCACAGGTTCTGCGTAGAGGGAAGCCCTGCGCCTTTGGGATTGTGCATACATACCCTGCCACAGGCTCAGAGTTTGCCTGGCAGAAACTGGCTGGGCCCAGACAAGGCTCATACGCCTCTGTCTGACTTTGGGTCACCCACCAAGCAGCCCTCAGAGCTATCTTTCATGATCTCTTGTCTGCTGACCATGTTTTAGGCCCAAGCATCCAGCCTGGGTAACTGCCTACTTCTTCCAGAAACCCTGCCTGTGTATGAGGCCTGCCAGCAACTGGAACCAGCCTTCATCGAACCCCTGCAGAGATGTAGTGCATGGGGCCTTGCTGAAAGAAAAGCTCTAGGAGACAGGGGCTATCTTCTGACTTTATTTTAAATATTATTAAAAGCTGAGAAGAGTGGGCCGGGCGCGGTGGCTCAAGCCTGTAATCCCAGCACTTTGGGAGGCCGAGGCGGGTGGATCACGAGGTCAAGAGATCGAGACCATCCTGGTCAACATGGTGAAACCCCGTCTCTACTAAAAATACAAAACATTGGCTGGGCATGGTGGTATGTGCCTGTAATCCCAGCTACTCAGGAGGCTGAGGCAGGAGAATTGCCTGAACCCAGGAGGCGGAGGTTGCGGTGAGCCGAGATTGCGCCATTGCACTCCAGCCTGGGTAACATGAGTGAAACTCCGTCTCAAAAAAAAAAAAAAAAAAGCTGAGAGAGTTCTTCTTGGGGTCCACATGGCATGCGGCAGGGATGGGGCAGTGTTCTTATAGTGCTTCCAAGAATAACCTGCCAGAGGTCACATGCTGCTCTGCAGCAGGCCATGTCAGATTCCACTCACATTACTAATGAGGCCAGGCACTTGGAATGAGAAAAGTAATACAAGGGAGCTTCAAGGAGACTGTGTTGTTTCTTTGGCTAGATGATGAGCACAAGGATGTTTATTTTATTATCCTTAAAAATGAACATCCATGACATATACTCCTACTGTCTTATGTTTCATTATACATGAATTTTAGTAATATTAGGAGACATGTCCCTCTCCTTACAGAAGCCCACCTGCTCCTCCCCAACATTGTTGGAGGGACCTTGTATACCCCTCCCGGGACTGTCTGTGTACACAGATAGGTCAAATGTGATCCTCGTTAAGCCTCACTGTCCCCTTGGGGGATTTACCACACAGCTCAGTTGAGGAGTTGGGGGCTCCAAGAGGTAAAGTGGCTTCCTCCCTGCCACATGCTGCAGAGCTAGATTCCAAACTATGGTCAGGCTCCCCTGTACTGTGCTGCTCAGAATGTATTTTTCCCTGGAGATAATCAATCAAATCCTAAAGAGTTGTGCATGAATGAGTGGGTCAGCAGCTAACAGGAATACTGTTGGAGCCATCTTCGGAGCCAGCTGCTAAGCTTACTAGAGGAACAGCTTGAAGCATGAAATCTCTCAAACAAACAAAAAAAGGTTTGGGTCATTAAGTCCCCATATGAGGAATTATTGGGCAAAACCTATCAGGCATGATGTCTAAGCTCCTGCAGCACTACAACCGTCAGAGCTTGCTCTTGGAAGTGGTCAGGACACCAGAAAGGCTCAGGACCTGGTGCCGAATCCTAGCTCTAGCAGAGACTGCATCACTTTGAGCAAGTCCCTTGAGTGTGCCGGACCCCTGTTTTCTCATTGATCAAATGAAAACAATAGCATCTGCCCCACCCACCACCAGGGCACACTGGGTCAGCTGATACCGTGCCCATGAAAGAGCAGCCACCTGTTCTGTTTCAACCTCGGCATGCCTTTCCTTCTTCTACCAAGACTTCCTTGACCACACGTCAGTCTGTGGAGACCAAAGCCTACTAAAGCCAGACTAAGGGACTGCTCTACTAGTGTGACAATGTGATAGAGAGAAGGGGCTTTTGACCTAAAACTCCAACAGGTTTTGTTTCAATGTAACTGCCTTTCTCCACTCCAAAGCTGTGAGTAAACCCTCAGGGTCAGTGAGAAAACCAAATGTCAATTTCCCTCTGGGTAACATTAACAGATACCCCAGGGGCTTGCCCATGTAACAGGTGGGCTTTCGTCAGAGGGTCTTAGAGCACACAGGAAGAACAGGCAGTTATCCTAGACAGGCTTGGAGCCCAGCTCAGAGACTCTTCTGGAGTTAGTATCTCAATGTCTTTCTCTTCTCCCTTCCTAGACATCAGTACAGCAGGGAAGGCAACAAACACCTGCTCCCATGAGGGGATTGCTAAAGAAAACCCCTGAAGGTTAATTATGTAGGATATTATCTGAGACAAAAATGGCCTGCAAGGCAGGACCCTAACTTGAAATTCAAGCCAGTGGTGTAGTCCACAATGCCCCAGGTAGACAGAGAACGTGTCCTATCCTCCAACTGTGCTCTGGTCTGTTGATTTTAGTAAACACTTCTTGGCTGTGCCCTCTAGTCATCAGGGAAGTAGGTAGCTGTAATAGGATCCCGTGGAACTGACTTTGCTCAAGGTCACTGGTGAGTCACCGGGCTAGATTTGTTTTGAAGGTCCTGCCTCTTCCTGTCTAGCTGCCCATTGCTCTAACCACTCCCAACCCAAACAGTTTATAGGCAGAAAGGCTAAAGGGACTTCTGTCCCACCCCTGCCCCTCCTTGCTGGAGTCCCTGTGAATTAGAGACACTTTCCCACTGCCCCAATCCCTCTTAGCAGCTGTGCAACCTGCTCAGCCTCTCCCCAATGTGACTTTTTTTTTTTAGCTTCCAGACAGGCCTGTGACACAGGCCTCTAACAGGGCACTCTAGTGCCTAGCCAGGTCATCCCACAGATACCAACAGGCCCCTCAGAACCTGGCAGTGTCATTTGCCCCAGTCACCACCTGTCAGGCACATAGGCTCTCCCTGGAAGGCCCTTGATCTTCCAGTGGCTGCTGTCAATTGTGATTCTCCCAACTTCCTCTCCCCAACTTCCTCATTCTCCAAAGATGCTTCCTGGGGCTGTTGCCATTGCCCTTTGCTGGCCACACTTGAGAGGCAGAAAGCCTCAGAAGAAATGACTAACTGAGGCTCCTCTTTCTGGGGCCACTAGAGGTCTGAGTCTATCTCCACCCAGCGCCAGGTTGAGAGCTGCATGAGAAGCAGGCACCGCTTGCAGGGGCAGTGGAGAAAATCCAGGATGGGATCTTCTTTTTTTTTAGAGAAAGGGTCTCACTCTGTACCCAGGCTGGAGTGCAGAGGCACGATGATAGCTCACTGCAGCCTCAAATTCTCGGGCTCAAGTGATCCTCCTGGCCTCCTGTTTCAGCCTCCCCAAGAGCTGAGATTATAGGAGTGGGCCACCATGCCCAGCCCAGGATGGGGTCTTTGGAGCCAGGTTTCACTGGCTAAAGCCTCTGAAGCTTTGTGAATGACAATGGGAGAGTGGATTTGCCCTGGGATCACCAACTAGAGCCCCGACACTGAGGTGATGAAGTTATGATAAAAAGCACAGATTTGGCTGGGCTTGTCATAAAACTCAATTAGAATAGGAAAGTGATAAGCCTTGAGTAGCTTTGATGGGAAATAAACTCAGAGCTCACTCAGGTGTTGTGGTAAGAGTATGGACCTTGGAGTCAATGTCCATTCGGATTAGCTGAGCAAACTAAGCAGCCTCCCTGAGCTGGGACCTTTGTGAAGTGGGGCTGATGACAGTACCTACCAAATAAAGATGCTGTTTAGAAGGAATAAAGCAGGCATGGGGTGTGATTAGCATAATGCTCAAGTGTGGCACTTGGGCAGGGGCTGAGAAATGGTAAGGCTGCTCCAGGGTGTGCTGGCTGCCCAACTCCCATCACCTGGAGACACCTGGCAGGGTCTGTTCTCCTTCTGGAAATATCAATATGCAGCTAGGAGCGGTGGCTCATGCCTGTAATCTCAGCACTTTAAGAGGCCTAGGAGGGTGGATTACTTGAGGTCAGGAGTTCGAGACCAGCATGATCAACATGGCAAAACCTCATCTCTACTAAAACTACAAAAATTAGCCAGGTGTGGTGGCACCTGTAGTCCTAGCTATTCAGGAGGCTGAGACAGGAGACTTGCTTGAACCTGGGAGGCAGAGGTTGCAGTAAGCCGAGATGGCGACAGCCTGGCAACAAAGACTCCATCTCAAAAAAAAAAAAAAAATCTATATGCACCACATCTGTGTTTGACAGCTCTGCTCCCTCTTGAGATTCAGAATACTCCAGGCTCCCAGGTCAGGACATCTGTTAGGCCCTGAGAATCACAACAGTCATACAGGATACTACCTGTCTGAAGGCCCACTGGGTACCAACAAGTACAAAGAAAAAGGAGAGAAGACACAATCAGGGACCTCTGGATTCCTCACTGATTCCTCTATGACAGCTCATGAGGCACCACTGACAACACTCCTACTAATGGGCACAAAGTGTTCCTAGGAGATGGCCACAGGCAAGCAAGCAGAAACTACATACATGGGTTAAGATCTCTAAATATGTGAGCAAAGGTAATGTAAAGGTTAAGAAAACATGCTCTGCAAATGACAAAGTGGAGCCTGAATAATTTCTTTCTTTTCTTTTTTTTTGAGATGGAGTCTCACTTTGTCACCCAGGCTGGAGTGCAGTAGTGTGATCTGGGCTCACTGCAACCTCACTTCCTGGGTTCAAGTGATTCTCCTGCCTCGGCCTCCTGAGTAGCTGAGATTACAGGCACCAGCCACCAGACCCGGCTAATTTTTGTATTTTTAGTTGACATGGGGTTTCACCATGTTGGCCAGGCTGATCTTGAACTCCTGACCTTAGGTGATCCGCCTGCCTCAGCCTCCCAAAGTACTGGGATTACAGGCATGAGTCACTCCCAAGCACCTGGCCTGGCCTGAATAATTTCTTGGAAAGGGTAAATACACATGTAAACAAAGAGCTGCATCAAAAATTTACTTTTTTCTTTGAGACAGAATTTCGCTCTTGTGGCCCAGGCTGGAGTGCAGTGGTGCGATCCTGGCTCACTGCAACCTCCACCTCCCAGGTTTAAGCAATTCTCCTGCCTCAGCCTCCCAAGCAGCTGGGATTACAGTGCCCGCCACCATGCCCGGCTCAAAAATTTACTTTTATTTATTTATTTATTTATTTTTGAGACAGAGTTTCACTCTTGTTGCCCAGGCTGGAGTGCAATTGCGCGATCTCAACTCACCGCAACCTCCACCTCCCAGTTCAAGTGATTCTTTTGTCTTAGCCTCCTGAGTAGCTGGGATTACAGGAATGCTCCACCATGCCTGGCTAATTATGTATTTTTAGTAGAGATGGGGTTTCTCCATGTTGGTCAGGCTGGTCTCAAACTCCTGACCTCAGGTGATCTGCCCGCCTTGGCTTCCCAAAGTGCTGGGATTACAGGCATGAGCCACTGTGCCCAGCCCTTTTATTTTTAACATGCCTTCAACAAGGATGCCCACCAAAGTGAAATAATTATGAGATTGTTCCTTATGACAGCTGAAGTAAAACAAAGGATAAAAACCATAAATGAGATAGCATCATCTTACATTGGCATCACAGATGTGGAGTAGTCCCAGCTTTGCCACCCCCAACTGGGTAGCCTTGGGGAGATCATTCATTTTTCAGAGCCACAGCTAAGCACACCCCATGCTAGATTTCAGAGATCTAGTTTTCTAGATCTGATGGGTCTAGTGGTGGGAAGGTGGTATGTGTGCTTCAAAGAAAGCAAGTGCGGGGCAATGAGCTAAAAGAAAAACCACCAAGACTCACTCAAGCTTAATGCTCTTTGTGTGATCAGCAACATGACAGAGAAAAGGCTGTATATCACAAGGCCTCTGTCATGTGCATAACTTTGGCTTTAACGAGCCAACCCAGCAAAGAGTATCATTAAGGCAAAATCTGGAATCAACCAGAAGCCCCCAATCTTCTACAAAATCACCCTACAGCCTCTAAAACGCAAGAGAGATACAGAACAGTAAGAAAACACTCAGAGAAAGACAACAGTTGGCCACAAGGATGAGGCTTTTCAGCCTAGACCTGCAGAAACACAGTTATGTTCCAATGCACAGACAGGAACTTGGACCTTTTCACCAAATCCCAGTGCCTGAATCCTTCAGGAGGTAACATGCAGATATCTAACAGAAAGTGCTTCTGATAGGCAGTTCAGTAAACCGGTTCAGAATGCATCACAGCCAGGGAATAGCACAGGGAGGATATAAGACCTTCAAAATGGTTCAAAAGACCTTGGGGTTGATGAACTATGCTGTTCTAAGGACTGTTTGGGGTCCATTGATTATTGCTAGGGTAAAAAGCAGGTGTTAAGAGTCCAGTCCTGCCCTCACATTAGTTTTTACTGGAGATAATATTGGGCAGGATGAACTATGGGAGCCCCTAGGACCCTCTCATAGTCCGTTGTCTATCTGGCTGGAAAGCGTGTTGATGAACAAAGCAACCTTGCCTCTGTCAGGCACACTTGTAATGGTTCCAAGAGCCAAATTCCAACTGTTGTACTGAGGGTGGCAATAGAACTGTTTTCTGATTACCTAAAATGCCACAGATCCCCTTCTTCTCTAGTAAACATCCAATTATATAGAACTCTAAAATATCTTTTAAAACCCACTCACATTAAAAGTTCCTTTTTCTCCATTAATCAGCCTGCCCCAAAGGTTTCCCATATCCCACAGGTTCCTTAGAAGGGGCCAGCTAACTGTGATACTTAGCACCCTTATCTTTTCTTGATACACAGCATCCTTCCTCCAACAGAATCCTAAAATAGCAGCAGTCAGGATTAACATGGCTGTGAGGAGTAGGTGCTTAGCTGAATAACATCAGAATTAATGAGGGGCCGGACCCCAAACAGAGCCACCTGGTGGGCAGGAACGCCAGGCAGGAATGGGGCTGTTTCCTTCAACCAAGTGTCTGGTCCCTGGCTATCTTTGCTTCAGCGAGAACCACATTCTGCCCCCCGCCGAGGCCTGAAGGGCCAGTGCGCAGCACCCTCACCTTTCAGCAGGTCCGGGTGCACATAGCCCAACACGTCGGAGACCCCCAGCTCCTGGCGGGAACAGGTGCCTCCGTGGATGTGCAACCAGGCGGGCTCGGCGAGGGCAGTGCACAGCGCCGTGATGGACAGGGCGCCAGGCAGGGCCGAGGCCAGGCTACGCTCCGGCTGCTTGGGCAGAGCGCTGCCTCCCGGGCTCCTCCGCCGGCGCCCGCCGGGCAGCCCTGCGCCTCCGGGGGCGTACATGCCCGGGGCCGCCCGCCGTCGCTCCGCAGTCGCTGCTGGTTGCCGCCGACCTCCGCGGGGCGCGCAGAACCTCACAGTTCGGTGGAGGAGAGCAACGCTCCGGGTACGCTGCAGGTGAGGCCGGCGCTGGGCTGTCAGGGTTGACACCAGAGGATGGGGGGGAGGGACCCAGGGCTGACAGAGACGGGGAGGGCTGCGGGGATTCGGGGGGCGGGGACAGGAGACTCCGAAATGGGACTGCGGGACGACAACCGGAGAGGGCCAGAGGCCAGATGGGGTCTGGCTAGACTCGGGTGGGGGGTGGAGGGATAGGGGATCGGCTTCTGCTGGAGGAAAGACCCGCACTCAGGGTCTCCGCCAGATGGTGTCGAGGGGCGGCGGACCGGGCTGGGCCGCGGGGATCGGGGACCGGTGATCTGGGACCGGCGGTTTGGGGTGCGACCTGTGCGGAGAAAAGACCCTTCCCACGCTGCCCATTGTTCCTCACCAGTCAGCAGGACTCAGGGCTGGGATCGCGCCGCTCAGCCCAGTCCCGGGCTTCTCGGCTGCCAGGGACCGAGTGTTCCCAGGCCCCAATCCCGCAACGCCCGGACGACCCGGGTCCGATGCACTTCCGGCTTCCTCCTCCTCTGCCTCCGCCTCCTCCGGCTGCCCGCCCCGTCCCCCGTGCGCGTCACAGCCTGGGCGCGCCGCCGGCTCTCCGCAGGGCCTCACGGGATTGGTAGTTCGAGGCGTCCTGTGATGGTTTCCCTGCGGAGGTGAAGGGAGCGACTACAACTCCCAGAGGGCCACGCGACCGCAGCCGTAGGCACCTGAGTTCCCTGGGCGACCCTGGTCCTCCGGCGGAAGCTGGAGCCTCTGGCGGCCGCTGGCAACTAGAGTGGGCGGTGCGCCGCTTGAGACCTGCTGTCTGCGCAGTTGACTCTGACCGCCCCCACCTCTCCCTGCGTCGGGCTGCCATGAAGGACTCGCTGGTGCTGCTGGGCCGTGTCCCGGCGCACCCGGACTCCCGCTGCTGGTTCCTGGCCTGGAACCCCGCGGGGACCCTGCTGGCCTCGTGCGGCGGCGACCGGAGAATCCGCATCTGGGGCACCGAGGGTAAGGCCTAGCCTGGCTGCGCGGCCCTCGGCGCTGAGGGCTCCGCCTGCGCATAGTGCGGGCGCGCAGCCGGCCGGGGAGACTGACCCTGTTCCTGACAGGGAGAGTCGGATCTTAGCCGCCCAGAGAAGGGCTTTACAGGCAAAGAAGTCTGCAACTACTGGGAGCAAAAACGTCAGCAGACAAGCTGAAATGTCGAGGGAATTGTGGTAGCTGCTGAGGCAGGAAAATGGGAAGAGAAAGGTGTAGGAAAGTGGCCTGCAGAATAACTTGAGACTGGATGTTCAGATTTCATACCGAGGGCATTGGGGAACCCATGGCAATTTTAGATCAGATTTGTTTTAGAAAGATGCCTCCAGAGGCTGGGTGCAGTGGCTCACGCCTATAATCCTAGCACTGTGGGAGGCAAAGGCGGGTGGATCACCTGAGGTCAAGAGTTCAAGACCAGCCTGGCTAACATGATGAAACCCTGTCTCTACTAAAAATACAAAATTAGCCAGGCGTGGTGGCAGGCACCTGTAATCCCACCTACTCGAGAGGCTGAGGCAGGACAATCCCATGAACCCAGGAGGCGGAGTTTACAGTGAGCTGAGATCGTACCATTGTACTCCAGCCTGGGCATCAGAACCAAAACTCCATCTCAAAAAAAAAAAAAAGAAAGAAAAAAGAAAAGAAAAAGCCTCCAGAGGAAGTAGAGTCAGTTGCATCTTTGTAAAATCTGTGAAATACACTCCCCGAGCTTTCCCCCACTAGCCTGACTCCAATGCTAGCTAGCCCCCCAATATCAAATAGCTTCATGGTGCTGCACCAAGCTCCAGAGCTTGGCCTGCGCTCCACCTTTAGGTGACAGCTGGATCTGCAAGTCTGTCATTTCTGAAGGCCACCAGCGCACCGTGCGGAAGGTGGCCTGGTCCCCCTGCGGTAATTACCTGGCCTCTGCCAGCTTTGATGCTACCACTTGCATTTGGAAGAAGAACCAGGATGACTTTGAGGTACCCAGGCTGGTTGGGACCAGAATTATTGCCCGTTTGCTCCCCAGGGCTGGTTCGGGAACCTGAGCCAACCTGCGCCAGTTGGGATGTACCCATGGGAAGGGCCTTAGGGGAGTTAGCTGCTGTTAATTATCATTTTCCTTCCCCCTTCACAGTGTGTAACCACTCTTGAGGGCCATGAAAATGAGGTCAAGTCAGTGGCTTGGGCCCCATCTGGCAACCTCCTGGCCACTTGCAGCCGAGATAAGAGTGTTTGGGTCTGGGAAGGTGAGTCCAGGTCCCTCCAGGTGAATTGGGAACCACCTGACAGCCCCCTCTGTGTCCCTGACAGGGTCGGCTCTTGGGTTGCCTTCTTTTTCTCTCCCACAGTTGATGAAGAGGATGAGTATGAATGTGTCAGTGTTCTCAACTCCCACACACAGGATGTCAAGCATGTGGTTTGGCACCCAAGTCAGGAGGTAAGAGTTAGGAAAGGTCTCTTGTGGAAGGGCTCTGGTGTGCAGGCTTGTGCCTGGCCTTCCTTTGTTTTCCAGCCTTAATTTAGCTTTTACAGGAATCTCCGTCTGTGAACAAAAAACATTAGCCCCTCTATAAAAACAGATCTGGCCGGGTGCAGTGGCCCACACCTATAATCCCAGCACTTCGGGAGGCTAAGGCAGGAGTTCAAGACCAGCCTGGCCAACATGGTGAAACCCTGTTGCTATTAAAAATACAAAATTAAGGCCGGGCGCGGTGGCTCACGCCTATAATCCCAGCACTTTGGGAGGCCGAGGCGGGTAGATCACGAGGTCAAGAGATCGAGACCATCCTGATCAACATAGTGAAACCCCGTCTCTACTAAAACTACAAAAAATTAGCTGGGCATGGTGGTGCGTGCCTGTAATCCCAGCTACTCAGGAGGCTGAGGCAGGAGAATTGCCTGAACCCAGGAGGCGGAGGTTGCGGTGAGCCAAGATCGCGCCATTGTACTCCAGCCTGGGTAACAAGAGCGAAACTCCGTCTCAAAAACAAACAAACAAACAAACAAAATACAAAATTAGCAGGGTGTGGTGGTGGGTGCTCATAGTCCCAGCTGCTTGGGAGGCTGAGGCAGGAGAATCATTTGAACCCAGGAGACAGAGGTTACAGTGAGCCAAGATTGTGCCACTGCACTCCAACCTCGGCAACAGGAGGGAAAGTCTATCTCAAGAAAATTAAGTAAATTAATTAATAAATTAATTAAAATAAAAGCAGATCCCTGGGACCGACCTGTCCTGCACTTCCTGGGGCACACAGACACATGTTGGGTCTCCTTTCCCTCTTCCCCCAGCTCTTAGCCTCTGCCAGCTATGATGACACAGTGAAGCTGTACCGGGAAGAAGAGGATGACTGGGTATGCTGTGCCACCCTTGAGGGCCATGAATCCACTGTGTGGAGCTTGGCCTTTGACCCCAGTGGCCAGCGCCTGGCATCTTGCAGTGATGACCGTACTGTGCGCATCTGGCGCCAGTATCTACCAGGCAACGAACAAGGTGAGAGTCCATTAGTAGAGCTAAAGAAGACCTATCTCTCAGGGGATTCACAGTCTGCAAAGACATATATGAGTCAGAGCAAATCAGGGTAAAAGGTAAGATGTGCCACAAGAGGGCTCTGGATGGAGTGCTGGAAGATTCGGGAAAGCTTTGTGGAACAGGGGCCATTTAATCTGCATTTAAGAGGGTGTATAGAATTTTAACATGATAATTTCACGTGAGAATTCCAGGTGAAAACAGTGTGAGTAAATGTAACAATGGTGGGAATGCCTAGACTGATGTGAGGAGTGGTAATTCATTTAAATGGGGCATAGGATATCTAGGGTTTGAAGAGGAATAAAGTGGGTGAGTCAGCTGGTGGGTGGCCTTCACAGGCAGACTTAAGTAGTTACATATAGTCTGCAACAGAACAGTGGATGTTTCCTTCTCAGAATTCTGCTTGAGAAAGGCCAGTCTGGCCATAGTGTGTAAGGTAGATCAGCGAGGATGGGGACAGGAATGGAAATGTGGACTCATAATTAGTTGAAGACGAGGGTGAGGGAAGGTAAGTTAGGCTCTCCTCTGAGGTGCCTAGGACATAGGAACGTCTTAAGTGTAAGAGAAATCTGTCTTGCAGGGGTGGCATGCAGTGGCTCTGACCCCAGTTGGAAATGTGTCTGTACTTTGTCGGGCTTCCACTCAAGGACCATTTATGACATTGCTTGGTAAGACGCTATCCCCCACCCCCATCCCATCCCCATAAAGCAGAGATTTCAGAGAAGGCATGACCCATGTAGCCCTCTGCAACCTTGGGGGGTGCTTGGGAATTGAGGGCAGCCATCCCCATTCCTTATCAGCCCTGACTCTACCATGCTGGTTTACAGCATTCATGGGAGCAAGAAACAATTCCAGGCTGTGAGGACAGCACCAGGGCTTGGGGTTCACACAGCTTGTGCTGTCTAGAAGTTATTATTGAATCTGCATTCATGGCTGGGGTTTTTATGGCTTGGTAACACTGACTCTGTCCTTTGGAAGCTGGGAAAGCTACGCCATTCGTATAGGAGAGTAGGTCAGAGGGTAGTTCTGGCCCTGAGAATTGATCCCTAGGAAATAATCCAAAACAGTGAAAAAAAAAAACTGATAAGCACTCAAGCTTGCTTTATATTAGCATTTGGGAATCACCTATTCAACAAAAGTCAACTTAAGTAAATTATGGTAGAACTCAGCTTGTCATATCATTGTTTAAAGAAAGGGGTTAAGAAGCCAGGCGCGGTGGCTCATGCCTGCAATCCCAGCATTTTGGGAGGCCGAGGTGGGTGGATCACCTGAGGTAGGGAGCTCAAGACCAGCCTGACCAACATGGATCAACCCTGTATTTAAAAATAAAATAAAATAAAGGGGTTAAAAATACTTTATTTTGGCTGAGGAAAGTGGCTCATACCTTTAATCGCAGCACTTTGGGAGACTAAGGCAGGTGGATCACTTGAGGTCGGGAGTTCGAGACCAGCCTGGCCAACATGATAAAACCCTGTCTGTACTGAAAATACAAAAATTAGTGGGGCATGGTGGCACACACCTATAGTCCCAGCTACTTGGGAGGCTGAGGCAGGAAAATCACTTGAACCTGGGAGGTGGAGGTTGCAGTGAGCAGAGATTGCGCCACTGTACTCTAGCCTGGGCGACGAGGCAAGACTCCATCTCAAAAAAAAAAAAAAAAAAAAAAAAAATACTTTATGACATGGGAAACTGCTTATGCCAAGTGAGAAAAGTGCAGTTCATAACTGCATGTAGTTTTTTAGGGTAATCATAGTAGGGGAAAAAACTAGATGGCAGCATCTGAAGATGTAAGGGTGGGTAATATTTGTGACTCCTTATTAGTTAGGGAAACATTTTAAGAGGAGGTTTTTAGCTGAGGCCTGAAGTTAGGAAAGAGAACAGACCAGGAACTATGGAACAAGTATCTCCTGCCTAATCAGTCAGGTATACCCACTGATGTCACTTTCCTTCCAGGTGTCAGCTGACAGGGGCCCTGGCTACAGCTTGTGGGGATGATGCGATCCGTGTGTTTGAGGAGGATCCAAATTCAGATCCACAGCAGCCCACCTTCTCCCTGACAGCCCACTTGCATCAGGCCCATTCCCAAGATGTCAACTGTGTGGCCTGGAACCCCAAGGAGCCAGGGCTGCTGGCCTCCTGCAGTGATGATGGGGAGGTGGCCTTCTGGAAGTATCAGCTGCCTGAAGGCCTCTGAGCTACCTCGATTTTGGACAGCATAATGACTCCCCAGAAAATGTCATGAGATTTTGCCAGCCCCTGAGAGGACCAGGAGGAGCATCCTTGACCTTCGTTTAACCTGGCTCACTTCTATTTAGACTTGGGTGGAAGTATGGAGCCACAGAACTGCTCTCCTTCCCCTCCTTTGACATGAGGCCCTCAGTAAAGAGCTACAGAACATCTGTACATTGTTATACCACCAATTTTTCTTGCATTAGGGTACAGTGTTAAATTTTTTGGGGGTAAATATACTATTTATAATCACTGTGTATAGTAGGAGGGGGTATATATCTCAGGCCTTTCTGAAGTTGTAAGACTTAAATAATCCATCTTCATCCCGAGCCCTATTTTATAAGCATATTCATAAAAGAATTCCATGGTGAATCCTTGTCTGAAATAGGTCCTGCCTCTCCAGTTTCTGGGTAAATCTTTGCATTTAAGACATCCAGTCAATATTGAAGGAAATTTTTTTCTGAATGTAGGTTCGAGTGAGGGGCATCTCTGCTTTCCCTTAGAAACCCTCATATACATCCTGCACTGTTATGCTGTGATGGCAACAGGATAGAAAAAAATGGAGAAAGACAGGAACCCTAAAAGGGAGAGTTATTACTGGCCACAGGCCCTATATTCTCAACAGGGATGCAAATTGCTTCTTCAGTAGAGATTAAAAAAAAAAAAAGTAGTTTGTGGTCCTCCTAAGGCCCACAGGACATACAGTGTGGCTGTGGTACTCCATTTTCATGGCAGTGAGTGATCAGAAAGGCTCCTTAGGGAAGTGGTGACGAAAACCAGTTGAGAAACACTGCCTTCAGGAGTCAGTGTTAAGGCTCGCTAAGGTTGTCTCGACAGTCACTTCTAAATAGGTTCTAATGTGACAATGGTCTCCAAAACTACAGCCTTCCCGTAAATTTAATCTGTGACCTTAGATTTTAGAAAGACAGTGGGGTGGTACCTAGAGTAGTGGTTCTCAAAGGATGTGGTCTGTAGATCTTGGGAGTCCCAAGACCCTTTCAGGGAGGATCTGTGAGGTCAACTGTTGGCACTGCAGCATGAATCAAGGTGGTGGCAGCAAACTTCTAGTAGTTTTGACACATCCTTGATAAAACAAATAACAGTGGCTAACTGTATTGTTGACCTAGCTGGGCACGGTGGCTCATGCCTGTAATCCCAGCACTTTGGGAGGCCAAGGCGGGCAGATCTCCTGAGGTCAGGAGTTCAAGACCAGCCTGACCAACATGGAGAAACCCTGTCTTTACTAAAAGTTAGCCAGGCATAGTGCCACATGCCTGTAATCCCAGCTACTTGGGAGGCCGAGTCAGGAGAACTGCTTGAACATGCGAGGCGGAAACTGCAGTGAACTGAGATTGCACCATTGCACTCCAGCCTGGGAAACAAATGAAACTGCATCTCAAAAAAAAAAAAAATGTTGATCTTAAGAACACTTCTTATAATATTCTGAGAAAATGGGAAGCATGCATAAAGCCCCTCTGCTATGCACTGAAGTATGGGTGCCTTGAGGAAAAGCAACTGTACAACTGAGTTGCAAGCTGAATTGGCTGTGTTCAAGGCATGCCCTTTAGAGTTGAAAGAACTGGCAGATTATGGTATTTAGACTTGAACATTTGGCTGACATTTTCTGCAAAACGAATGGAATGAGCCTCTCACTTCAAGGGAAACAAGTGATAGTGTTGCCAATGATAAAAGAAAGCTTTCAAGCAAAAATTAGAATTTCTCAAAATCTGTACTCCATCATGAACTTTATTGGGAATATTAACAAATGTGATTTGTATAATGAAATGCATTTCATTTGGAAGAATTCAATGAACCAGTTTTCCAAGTGACCAGTACATGAGGTTACAAAATCATTCATGGCTCAAAGATTAATTCAAAAGTATAAGACAGGCCAGTGGATTTGAAAGTATTAATAACAACATGAGAGTGCATTTTTTCAGAGTCCACATTGCCTTTAAGAAACTATCAGTTATGGTCTTGGTGTGGTATCAAAGAATAGCTACAATTAACTGAAAAGGCGATTTAAAAATCTTTTCCAACTGCCTGTGTGAAGTCAGCTTACTTCAAAATAGTTTGGATGTAGAAGCAGCTTTAAGAATCCACTTGTTTCATCTTAGATACAAAAGAGATTGTAAAATGCCACTTTTCTCCCTGGATTTACTGTTTTGGAAGTTGTTCCTCATAAAAAATGTTAATGTGGGCTGGGCATGGTGGCTCATGCCTGTAACCCAGCATTTTGGGAGGCCGAGGTGGGTGGATCACTTGAGTTCAGGAATTCAAGACCAGCCTGGGCAACATGGTGAAACCCTATCTCTATTAAAAAAAAAAAAAAAAAAGTTAACATTATGATTCAAAAGTGCATTAACCTAGATAAAAGCTTTTTGGGCCAACCTCCAGAACTGTGAAAAATAAATGTTATTAAAAAAAAAAACTCCTTGAGGTTCTTAGTTTTCAGTAAAGAGGTTCTAAGACTAAATCATTTGAAAACTGCTGCCCTGAGGAAACTGCCCTTCAGAATTGTATTTCAATTTTGTACACATTTAAAGAACAGAAAGTAAGAATTTGAAGAAAATCGGAAGATCTAGATTAGAAAACTCTATTTACTAAGACTGGGTCACATCCAGCTGGTACATTTCAGTCCTCCTTCTGGTGCTGTCGCCCAGGAGCAGACACTGCAGAATTTTAGAACATCCATTTAGAGAAACCGCTAATTTGTGATCTAGCTTCCAAATCTCAGTGTTAGTTCCTGCGGTAGGGCTGATGTATGGGTACCATTGAAGCCAGGTCACAGTCATATGTTTCCTCCTCCAGGCTGACTCAAGACCTCAGGGGACAGCACACCTAATAAGCAGGTCAGTCCTCCAGATGCACTCATTACAAGCTCATTCCTGGCTAATTTTGGCCATGCCCTTAGGTTGAAGAAAACTTATAATTTGGAATCACTGCAAAGACAAATGGTTTCTACAAATTATTTTATTAAAACGTCAAACTCAAAAGGAACTACTGGGAACATGCCTGAAAATGCTATATATGATTTATGCTTGACATGACACCTGCTGTCATTGCATCCAGAATATGAACAAGAGAAAAGGGAATGGAGGTGGGTGGGGACAGCACCAGCCCTGGCTAGCCAGACCTCAGGCCCACAAACCTGCTCCCCACAAGCAGGATCCCTACAACGTACACATTCCTAATTCACGCTCAACTCTCCTTTTAGCCAAGAGTAGATGCCTCAGGACTCAATCTGAATCACTGTCTGTCTCAGCTTCTTTCACATCCACACTGAATTTGTATTCCTGGTCACATCCCATGTAAGCATCACTCATGAAATACAGAGTGTAGTTGTGGGCACCAGTGGCTGGGGCCACAAAGTCCAACTTCACCTAGAAAGAGCAGGCAGAAATCAAGATGAGCATGGACACAGGAAGCATCTTCACCCTTCCCCCACATCAGAACAAATGCTGGAGCCGGTGGACACACTCACCTTGGCCTTCTGCTGCAGGGTCAGCCTCTTAATGGAGATGAGGCTATTGGACTTGGCATCTCCAATCACCACCCACCAGCCTTCTTCACGTTTCTGCATGAAATAACAACATGAGAGTGCATTAAGTTTCTGCAGTAATTCAAAACCAAGAAATTCAGGATGTAAAACTTGATGGCCATAGGCAACTGTGAAAATGGTTATGGTTACAAAAGAAGGATAACAACAATCAGATAACTTTCCAAAGTTTCTTCCCGAAATACAATTAGATATAACATTTAAAACTGTCAAAAATTGTCTCAAACAGACTTAATTTTTTAAGCAGGTAGATGAACTCATTTATTGGTTCTGGCTCATTTCCTTGTGCCAAGGTACCTTCCCCCACTTAGTGCCTGCCACTAAGTCCAAGGTACTACTATTAGAGGTCTAGTCTTTAGGGTATGGTAGCTTTGAGTTCCTTAGAGATACTTTTAAGTACAGGGCAAATCTGCCAGATGAGAAAAAATTTAACACAGAGCTGAATGTGCACAGAGAAGATAACACAGCAGGCCTTGCAGCCCTGTCTACTGGCCACCCTACTGTCACAAAAACCAAGGTGCCAGTTAAAAGCGCTCTTTCCTCAGAACCTGTGAAACAATTAGTTTACACAATTAAACATGACAATATCTGGGCCGGGCACGGTGGCTCAAGCCTGTAATCCCAGCACTTTGGGAGGCCGAGGCGGGTGGATCACAAGGTCAAGAGATCGAGACCATCCTGGTCAACATGGTGAAACCCCGTCTCTACTAAAAATACAAAAAATTAGCTGGGCAGGGTGGCACGTGCCTGTAATCCTAGCTACTCAGGAGGTTGAGGCAGGAGAATTGCCTGAGCCCAGGAGGCGGAGGTTGCGGTGAGCCGAGATCGCGCCATTGCACTCCAGCCTGGGTAACAAGAGCGAAACTCCGTCTCAAAAAAAAAAACAAACAAACAAAAAAAAAAACATGACAATATCTGGTTTCTGCTGTCAATCTTCAATTATTCTCCCATATAAAAAGAACCAGAATTTATTTCTGGTGGTAAAGAACCAAGCAACCAGAAGCAGTGTAAGTGGCAGTGAGAAAAAAGAAGAAACAACCAGGAAAGCCCAAGTGTCCCGGAGCCACTAGAGTTAAAGACAAATGCATCTCTCCTCTAAAGATGGCAAGATAATAAAAAATTAAAAAAAAAGAAAAGACAAATGCATCTTAAACAGTCAGAGAGATGGACAATACTACACGACTGACGGGTTTAACAATGACCAGTCATCTCAACTGTTTCAAACTAAGCAGAAACCAACAGAAAAAAACCCATAGCCTCAAGATTCTCAGCCTTGTGAACTCATTATCACTCTAAAGTTTCCCTCCCACAGTGACAATGTATACCAAGCACCTAGCCAATGGATAGGGTGAGTTGACACCTGGCCCAGCCAGCTACCGGGACGCACCTGTGGGAAAAGAGGCGCAATGACAGGACCTGTGACTTCCTCTTCTCGCTCCAGCTGCACCAGCACCACCACCGGCCCGCCACTGCAGGGGTAGACAAGGGTCCCACATAAGTGATGTGTGGCAGTGGGCTCACAGCATAATTCCGTGCTGTGGCCAACAGGTACCCCCTGTGGCTCACCTGCGGATGCTGTCCTTATCTACAACCTCATAAGACAGTTCGATATTAGGGTAGCGGTTACAAAAGCGGGCCACATCTGCAATCTGGCTGTCAGTCAGCTGAAGCAATGCGTTCCGTTCTTCATCCTCCATCTCCATGATGTCGAAAACACTCTCTACTCCCTGCAGTGAGTATTCAGACATCAGGAAAGAGAGAACACAGGCCAATGGCAAATGACACAGGTGCCAAAGAACCACTAATTTTACCTCCTACATTATCAAGTCACCTAGAGAAAACAGCTGCAGAAAGAACATGGCCCACAGTTGGCAGCCTCTCTAGCATCTCAACCAGGAGCACCTTCGGAGGAACCAGAACTAAAAGTTTCACTTACTGAGATCCACCTCCTGCAAACCACCCTCAGTCCACGACACGAGGCTCTCAGGCTCATCCACCTGACCCTCTAGGCCAACCCGGCTCACCTTGTCTGTGCAACGTTTGATATGCTCAGAGGTGAAGTGTGGCAGCTGCTTCAGGTATGAGTCCTTAGACCACATGGCTTGGGTGACCATCTGGGCCAGTT